TTCAATTCTCCACAAGCGAAACTATTCTTTGGAGCATCGTTGTGAGATATTTCTTACTGAAATGAGAGACGTAGAGTGCCGTGTCGATTGCGAAGAGAGTGGTGTTGAAATATGGGTCCTTCGAGTTATTACTCGTGTAGAGTGTGAAGAGGAGCGTGGAGAGAACGGAGCTCTGTGGGACTCCAATACTAAAAGGGCACTTAGAGGAGCGAGTTCCCTCTATTCTAAATTGGAAATGGCGGTTGGCAAGGAAGGATCTGATGATGTGAGTGAGCCTATTAGGCACGTTAAGTTTAAAGAACTTGTAGAGCAACAGTCGTACCAGACTTTGTCAAACGCTTTGCCAACGTCGAAGAAGAGGGCGCCTTTGTTGCGGGTTCAATGGCCATTACTTGTTGATTGAGTTCACTCTCGCTTTCTAGGATGTATTCCGTAAAACGGTGGATCTGATTGGTGCACGAATGCTCGGGTCTGAAACCGAACTGTACATCACAAAGAAACTTGTTTGTAAAGACGTGTGTACGGAAGCGATTTAATAATAAACTGTCGTAAACTTTCTCCATGCTGCTATGCTGAGGAGACTAACGTGTCTGTAGCTAGAGGCTGGGTTGCGCGGTTTCCCTCGTTTTGGGATTCCTATGACGTCCGCTTGTTTCTATGCATCCGGGAAAGAACAACTGGAGAGAAGGGCGTTGAAAATATCCACTAGGAGGCAGACAAGTGGCGCTGGGAGAGATTTAAGCACCCTGTTGCTAAAGCTGTCAGGGCCGGGTGCTGATTTTTTAAAGGTTTTTTATAGTTTCTATGACTTCGTCAACAGTCACAGGATCTAAGTGAGGGCCTGAAGGTGGTATCACAGACCTATGCTCGACCACCGCTTTGAACTCTGCAAGGTGAGCAGGATCTATTGGTTTGCTAGAAGGAATGCATTGGCTCTCTAAGCTGTTCACGAAGCATTCAGCTTTTTCAAAGTCATCAAATGCGAGATCGGGATTTCCTGGTCTAATGAGAGGTGGCATGGGTGAGAATTGTTTTGCTTTCAGAGCTCATCTCAACTGCCAGAAGGCAGTGTGGGATGGCTCGATATCTTCTAGCAGATTATCCTACTTTCTATCTAAATTCTTTAATGGGTTATTTTACCTCGTTCTGGAGGTTGCGGAGTCTAAAATTAATTATCTATTGTGCGGTAGTGATCATATTGTCTGAGAGCCGCATTCTTTGCTCTGATCAGTTGTCGAATATCACTCGGAAACATCTGGTGTTCATTGCTCGTTACGCGAACCTTTCGAGAGCGTTCTACGACCGCTGAGGTGAGGTGGGCCGATAGGGCGTTAATCGTGTTATTGGCTTTCTCTTGCGAGTTTATTTTGTCGGGAATCAGGTCTAAGTGCTGGGAGGTTGTAGACTCGAATTTGACCTCGAGCTTATGCCAGTCCATGATGGTTTTGGTCTGAAAGACCACACCTGCGGGCTGACCCAGCTATAAAAGGACTGCTCTATGGTAGCTAAGCTCTAAAATTGTCTCTATAGTTGTTGTGGACAGACTGACATTTTTGAATCTTCTCGCTACCTCAAGTTGAACGGCAATGCTTGGGTTTAGTGGTACTAAACCCAAGCATACCATTGCAAGACCTCAGGACATAATCAGTTCATTTTGCATAGATCGGACCATAAACAATAATTAAAAAGGCTGAAGGTACTCCGGGTTCAACAATGACATCGGTCACCTGTCTTCCGTGACCATGGGTGTTGGAAAGCACCCGAAACGTCGGGAATCAAAAATAATTAAAAGTAAAATTAAACTCGATAAAATCCGTAAAAGTAGTTTTAATCAATGTGTAGTGTTCGCGTAAATATAATAAATCATTAGGCTTAATAACTTAAAAATGTCTACTTCGATAATGCGCTTTGCTGTCGGTAAGTGGTGGATGGCCGAACAGAGCTACACTACAGATAGAGACTTCTATGTTAGTTAACGGGGGAGCGTCAATCGGTATGCAGTACAAGGCCCTCTTGTAGTAGATGAAGGTGCCACCATTTTGGCCGGTCAGCCTATCATTTATAGCTAGGGTGTAGTTTGCGATCTTGGGATCGCGGTAGCTAAGATTCAAGTGGATCTCTTGCATTTGCATAACGTCTACGTCGTGGTGAGCGCGATCTCGTCTTTTTGATCTCTGAGCCCGTTTAAGTTGAAAATCGCAATAGTCAGAGAGCGTGGTTTAAGTCTACCTAACGATTGTACCACCATTATGATTTTAAGTATTGTTATAAGGCGCACTAGAAAAACCAGATTAGTCCTATGTGCTCAATGGTGGCGTTGAGTTTGTCCTTATGGGTAGTAGCCCCACGGAGTTTGCGGGGCAAGAAAGATAATTCAGTGACGCTTATGTTGCTGATAACGCCGCAAACTAAAGAGAAGTCTGGGTATGTAGTGAGAAGGTTTGGTTTGGGGGCCTGAGAAGGCGGAATTGGCCGTGAGGTGACAATTGCCGGACGCTATACCCACGCGTTGGATTTCAACGCAGAATGCGCGGAAGTGCTACCACCGTACGCGAAGACCCCGGCGACGGGGGCGGCCTGGACGGTGGTTTGGGGCGCAGGGGGGAGCACCGAAGATGGTGTGGGTTTGGGGGCAGGCAGCCGAGAACGCGACACGCTGGCCTGATCCGGACGTCTGGGACGGCTTTTGACTTCGCGCTGTTTGCGTCGCGGCGCTTTGGAACACCCGCGATAGTTCGCTGGGTGTCCCTCTTCGCGACAATTAACGCAGTTTGGAGGCTCTGTCATTTCGGGCGTGCGGATGGGGTCGGTAGTGCCGTGGTCACAATGTGGCGTAACAATTTCTGGGCGAGTGGCCGTACAGTAGGCGTCGATGGCATTGGCCAACGATGCCTCTATTTCTTACGAGGCTTCTACAGCAATCCCGGTTCGATTGCAGAAATTCCGCACATTGAAATTATCCTTGTCTTCCGGAGATAAGTCCAGGATGACAAGGCAGAGATCAAGAAAACAATTCTTGTCAGTATGATGTTGCATTCTTTGCACTTCACGGACCGGGTAATTTTGTGCCTTAAGGTCGTCGAAGATGTGTGTGGTGTCGAGTTCCTTAGGGAGTCGTCGAACAACCACACGAAGTTACGTTCCTCTGGTAGGGCGTAAGTGTGAAAAGAGATTTCTTGGCCGCGCAGGTGACTAGTCACGCAGCGGAATTCTTCGGTCGGGTTAAAAAACATGCGTATGCCCTGCCCGGCGTTTTGCACCTTTGGGCAGTATATTTGCTTTTTTTCTGGCTTTTTTGCCGGAGTAGTGGTTCGGGACGGGGGGGGGGGGGGCGAGTTAGTCTTGGTTGTCGTTTTCGGAGAAGCGCGCTTGCGCTTTTTTCCTTGGGCGAAAGTGAACTCTTCGTTTTTGGGCTTGGCAGGGACGCGCACCTCGATTTTCTTTTCCGAACCTGAGTCGGCATCCGAGTAGGCTGGAGACATGCGGAGGAGGAGGTGGACATCGCGGAGGACGCGGGTGAAACTGCGTTGTTTACAGACCCGGACGAAGCCGATAAGACCGGGGTGGAGGGAGGGGAGAGCGGGTCAACCTCATAATGAATCGGCGTGTCCTTGCGTTGCATGAGGTATGCCATCCATATGTCGGGGATTGCTTTTCGTAAGAGATAATTCAGTGACGAATGAAATCCACGAGAACGTCGTTTTGAAATGACGCCATTATGTTTTGTAGTTTTTACGTAGAATTAGCACGGGTGTGTACCAAGCTCCCCCAACTTACGGCGCGGGCGGTGTGTGCCTAAATAAACACCTATACACCTAGCGCGTTGGTATGCTAGGATGTATACCTAGCTTGTTGCCTAATTCCACAAGCAACACAGAAATTAAATTAAAATAGATGATTGGCTCTGAGGCAGTGGCTATGTTGCGCTGTACTTACGGTTTGCCGAAAACCAGGAAGCCAGGAAGGAGAGCTAGGCTTGTGCCTCACACTCTTAACATTACAACAAGCGTCCGATACACTTCAATTGTGAGACTGCTGTCCCCGGGATAACGCGCTTTGCGCACCACAATGTGAGCACTAATACTGTCACCAAACACACAGAACAAGGCACTAGCCGGGTGTAAGCTATCCCTTTATTTAAATAAATCACGTACATGTACGTACCGATAGAGTAAAGTGACGGGAGTGACCTCAACCGACACGTCTGGAGTCTACTAAGCTCACGGCAGGAGTGTGGTAGTCAATGTGATGCCCCAACTTATAGAATACTATAAATTATGTATATATTCTAGTATTCTATGGTTCAACTAGCGACATCTGGTGAGCATAAGTGTCACCTTATTGTGGCACAACTGGCTGCGGGTTTGATTGTCATACAATATTAGTAATTAAATAATTAATTTAAGCCTGGATATTTACCGACGCGAAAACTATGTTAAACTTAAAAAAAAGCCTAGTTAGTGTTGGGGTAAAAGAATAAATCAAATTTTTCAATGGGACGAGATTATTTCAAGTTTTCAGCAATTATTTTCAAAAGTTTACAAAAACCCTATTAAATATATTATGTGTACAATTTTAAAAGTATATATAAATACTGCTGTTTGATTATCTAGACCGTTGTAATCTTCAAAGAAATTTAAGAGGTAATATTTCTATATCGAAGTTTTTTGATCTACATTTTTGCAGAGTACATTACAAAGAAAAGTCTTTATACTGTATGAATAAAAGGAAATATATAGAAAGTTATTCACAACATAAAATATTTAAAATAAAAGAAATGATGCAACTCGTAATAATTAAAAGGCTATGATTTATTTTGAATTGGTAAAAACAACACTGCTGTCAGTCTCTTTAAAATTTGCTATTACTAGCGACCTCCTAGTTCCCGAATTGCAGCATTGGCTTCTGTCCAAAAACAACTTTTTCAACCTCCATTAACGTCAATCGTTGTACGTCGTCCGTTGTGGGATACTTGAAGTTTTTACAAGTAACAATCCTTTTTATTTGTAGATACTTATAAAGGAATATAATGTTCTTATTTTAACTTGGTCATTTCTTCTAGGAGGACTTTTCTGCTTTTTCTCTTTTTGTGTGCACTGGTTATGCCGTACCCTGTTCATTTCGGCCTGAAGGTGAATGTGAAATGTAAAAATTAGGTAAATCTGTGTATTGGTGGATTGGATTTAATAGGTGGATGTGTCTTTACCTCTTTAAATACAGAATGAGAGGCATTCACCTCAGATCTAAGTGGTTAAAACGCAAGTGTAGTCTTGTATGTTTGAAATTGGTTGCATGCATATGGGTTGCAGTAGCCATTTACCATCAGGTGGATCGTTAATTTGTTTTTTACTTTAATTTTATAAAATTTATCGAGTATTTTTTAATTATCACACTTGGAATGATATTAAAAGCACCTTCCTATCTATTTTTACCACAAAACATCAGATCAGAACATTTTCTATTATATTTTAAAAGGCAGTATAATACACAACCTGTTATTAACAAGATATTATATCAGCCCTCAGTTTGGCTATGGAAGAGCGGGAGTCTCTGACACAAGTGCCTTAAGGTACTTAAAAGATGCTCCCTACACTATGCAAATTGTAAATAACAAGAGAAATTAACTATTATGTATGGGGTATCTATATAGTTTTCTCATCTGGTTGAGTTCTATAAATATATAATTATAAATGAAAATGAAAAGATAAATATACACAAATATCAATAACATAAAATAAATATAAAAGTACATAAATAAGTAAAAGCCCAACCAGATGGAGGCCCTCGGCAGGGGAGACCAAACGGCCGAGGGTTAGGGGGAAAGGGAAAGAAACCGGCGGACGATGCGGGCGGTATCGAGGAGCACCGCCTTCTGCATTTGAACCTGGAGCGGTCCGCCACGTAGTCCCAGCCACCTCAGATGACCCGAGAGGCTGACTGGGATTAGCCCGTTTGCAGAGACGACTACAGGAATAATTTCGGTCGGCAGACCACCCCACATGTCGGTTACCTCGTGAGCCAGGTCCAGATATTTTGTTTGCTTGTCTGTTTCGGCTTTCACGAGATTCTCGTCATACGGAATGGTAATGTCGACCAAAAATATTCTTGACTGTGCCCGGTCCATCAGCACAATATCAGGCTTATTCGCAAGAATAGTCCTGTCTGTGATGATGGCCCGGTCCCAATAGAGCCTGGCGCGATCATTTTCGAGCACGGCTTCCGGCAAGTACTTGTAATACGGCAATTTCCGGTCCATGAGACCGTATTTCAGAGCGAGCTCCTGGTGTAGAATTCTGGCTACTAGGTTGTGCCTGTGCAAGTACTCAGAGTTAGAAAGCGCCGAACAACCGGAGATAACATGCCTAAGTGGCTCACCGGGATGGCGACAAGCTCGACAGATGTCGACGGTGCCATCCTTTAGGATGTATCTCCGATAGTTGTTTATAGTTATAGTTATTATTATTATTTTGGGGTATCTATATAGTTTTCTCATCTGGTTGGGTGCTATAAATATATAATTATAAATGAAAATTAAAAGACAAATATACATAAATATCAATAACATAAAATAAATATAAAAGTACATAAATAAATAAAAGCCCAACCAGATGGAGGCCCTCGGCAGGGGAGACCAAACGGCCGAGGGTTAGGGGGAAAGGGAAAGAAACCGGCGGACGATGCGGGCGGTATCGAGGAGCACCGCCTTCTGCATTTGAACCTGGAGCGGTCCGCCACGTAGTCCCAGCCGCCTCAGATGACCCGAGAGGCTGACTGGGATTAGCCCGTTTGCAGAGACGACTACAGGAATAATTTCGGTCGGCAGACCACCCCACATGTCGGTCACCTCGTGAGCCAGGTCCAGATATTTTGTTTGCTTGTCTGTTTCGGCTTTCACGAGGTTCTCGTCATACGGAATGGTAATGTCGACCAAAAATATCCTTGACTGTGCCCGGTCCATCAGCACAATATCAGGCTTATTCGCAAGAATAGTCCTGTCTGTGATGATGGCACGGTCCCAATAGAGCCTGGCGCGATCATTTTCGAGCACGGCTTCCGGCAAGTACTTGTAATACGGCAATTTCCGATCCACGAGACCGTATTTCAGAGCGAGCTCCTGGTGTAGAATTCTGGCTACTAGGTTGTGCCTGTGCAAGTACTCAGAGTTAGAAAGCGCCGAACAACCGGAGATAACATGCCTAAGTGACTCACCGGGATGGCGACAAGCTCGACAGATGTCGACGGTGCCATCCTTTAGGATGTATCTCCGATAGTTGTTGGTCTTAATAACCTGATCCTGTATTGCACAGACAAAACCCTCGGTTTCCCCCGAAGAGATCACCAAAGCGTAGCCAGTGGAGGGAGGCTACTGTGTCTACGAAAGGCTCATGTAGAGCCTTGTAGAACCTCCCGTGGAGCTCCTTCTCCTTCCATACGGTCTCCCGGTCGGAAATGCTCTGCACTGCCGGGTCTTGCCATTGCTCGTTGGCTAAGGATAGAGGGGTAAGTCCTTTATCACAAGAAATGACGTCCTTATAGAATGGATCATCCGATCTCGCCAGGAAGTAATCACGGAGGCTGCACACTTCGCGATTATGCATGGTGAGCGCGCTCAAGAAGCCACGACCACCATGCTTCCGCGGCAAGTACAGCCTCATTACCGACGATCTCGGATGATGCATCCTATGGGACGTCATTGTAGTGCGGACTTTTCTATCCAGGGCGTTAAGTTCAGTCTGAGTCCACCTGAGTATGCCAAAGGTATACATGAGGACAGGCATGACCCAGCCGTTATATGCGTGTGCCTTATTCACACCGGACAAAAGGCTGTTAAGCACTTTGGTCAAGCGTGCATAAAACACGTCGCAAACTGACTGTTTCATACCAGTCTCATCGATACCGATGTTTTGTGACATACCCAGGTATCGGTATGTTTCAGCCTCGGAAAGGGTCCTTAAGTTGACGGGCATAGATAAGTCTACGCCCTCAGAGTTAGCAACCCGTCCCCTTTCAACATGGAGGACCGCACACTTATCCGTTCCCAGCTCCATTCCAATAGAATTGCTAAATTCACAAGTGATGTTTAACAATTCCATAAGATGGGAGCGACTGGAGGCGAATAACTTGAGGTCATCCATATAGAAAAGGTGGGTCACTTTTGTCCCTCCTTTCCGTAGCTGAAATCCCCTCCCGGAGCCCTCCAGTAAGGTACTGAGAGGGTTCAGAGAGAGACAGAACCAGATTGGACTCAGACAATCGCCCTGGAAGATACCCCTTCTTATCCTTATGTGGTTCTCCGCAGCCATCATCCGCTCGCCTAGATGACAAAGGATCGTACTCCACTGCCCCATACACTGCTCGAGGAAGTCTCTAACTGTACAGTCTATCTTGTACAGCTCGAGGACTCTCTTTAGCCATGTATGGGGCACCGAGTCGAATGCCTTTCTGTAGTCTATCCAGGCGGCGGAGAAGTTCCGACGGTTGCGTTTCACCACTTTGCCAATGACCGCGTCAATGAGGAGTGGTTCCTTGGTTCCACGACCACCGCCCCGACATCCATTTTGAGCGCGCGACATCACCTGATTTGAGTCCAGGTGACAAGTGATTCTCGCGCTCAAAATGGATGTTAGTGTCTTGTATATGGTCGGTAGACACGTGATGGGGCGGTATTTGCTCGGGTCTGTGGTACCCTGGTCTTTAGGAACTAAATGAGTGATCCCAGTAGTGAAGAGGCTTGGGAGCGACTTCTGGTTGAGAGCCTCTTGAAACTGTCGGGCGAGCACAGAGTGACACACCATGAACCCCTTCAGCCAGTAGTGATGCAGCCCGTCAAGCCCCGGACTTTTCCAGTTCGGGGCCCTACGAACCGCCTCATCTACGTCATCCGGCGTTATGATGACGGGGTCCATGGGCGTAATACCCGCACACTGACTCGCCACAACTTCCGTCCAAGGGCCCTCGCTGTGGTTTACGGGCTCTGACCACAGGCCGCGCCAGAATGCTACAGTGTCGGCCTGATCCGGTGCTGGACCCGTTCCACTTACCATTGGTCGCTCCAATGATTCATAGAGCCTCTTCTGATCACTCTGGAAGAGACGATTCTGGTTGAACCGTGTCGACCTCTCGGTATATCGCCGAATCCGCTTTCCCCAAGCAGCGATTCTCTGCTTCAGATCATCTATGCGCTCCGTCAGTTTTTGCGTTATATCCGGCTGGGACAAACTGACATTTGTCCCAGCAAACGCCATCCTGACGGTGCGCACAATTCTTGGCCTGTTGTTGCCTGATCTGAAGCATATCAGTCTGCCGATGAGAGCTCTAGCCTTTGCGATACGTTCCTCAATTCTTCTTCTCCATGCTGGGATAGCGCTACTATGGCCAGTAGCGCGTCCAGCCGTGGAAACCTTGGCGCCTATGATACGGCAGACTGCCAGCGCGGCGCCAAAAAGAATTGAGTCCGTCTCGCAAAGGTCCCGGCTGGCTTCCAAATAGGTAACCAGCATTGGGTTCAGAGCCCTCACGACAGCCCGATTCCGCTTGCTTAGGGCTATGCGGGGAAGTCGCGGTCGATTTTCGAGAGGCGTACTGCGCGTTTCCACAATCGCCTCTTCCAATATACTCCTCATATGCTCTAATTCCAGTTCCTGGGCGACTGTTCCATCATCGTTTGAATCAACCACAACTGGGGTATTCACGGCAGCATCCACGTTTGCGGGTTGCTCTACCATTTGTGGCGCCGCATCCTCAGCCGTAGCATTCTCATCCAACGAGGGAACAGCCTCACGTCGTAGCCGTTCGAGTTCGGCGACATCAAATATATTTGAGCGCAAGATATACCGAACTCGGTCTGCCAGGTTTTGCTCTGTGACGATTAAAGATGGCTCCAGCTCAGCAAAAAGACGATGCATCCTAGCCCGATACGCCAAACATCCAGTTTCTTCCCCTTTTTGCCCTAAAGTACGCCCGCAGTGCGTTTGCATTCATTTCTTGTGACCAACGCATGCGACGTGCTCCACCAGCGGCGGGTGCCGCTTGCTGAGTCCGAGAAGACCCAGCCGACACCAAGCCTTCTGGTGGGGATGATGGATGCGGAGGGCTGGTAGATGACCGTGCAGCTCCTCGCGCTCGGCTGGCGGCCCGCATGCTGCCGCGTCCAGCGCCAGCTCCAGACGCGCCCCGGCGACCCCCAGGCAGCGGCCCTTTGCGCACTATCTTTTTATCCATCATCCATTATTTGGGCGTCCATTAACGGGAGACGCCCAGGCCCGGCACCGTTTCGTGTGTAGCCATAAGCACAAACGGGCCTCTGCACCCTAAATTCTGCCGCGGCACGGCGCTCACACCTCTCGCAAGGCGCTGACTGACTGCGTTGACGTAGCAGTTTTGTCACTTAACTGTTACGTCAGCGGGCGATGGGGTCGTCAATTCCCTACGCCTTTTTATTATTATTATTATTATTATTATTATTATAATGACTTGCTTCATTTGAAGATATGATTATAACAATGTAGTTTCCCTCAATGGTGATAACGCATTTGCAACCTTAAATCTTTATCTGAAGTTGCAGGTGGACTGCAA